GCATACGCTTCAGCTCTCGAGTCCACATCTCTTTGATTTGTTTGCGTGTCTTCTCGTGCTCTACACGTCTGGCGGTCATCGGCTCCACAAACTTGTGGCCCAACAGCAGCGCACAGGTAGCCAACGACGAGTTGCCGTTCTCGATGTCCTGGTCGATGGCCGTGCAGTATATCGATTGGAACGGGAGGAACGACTGCACAGAAAATATTAGTTATACATAAAAAAAATAAGTTTTACAATCAAAATGATATAATTATTAATCTGATAAATATTTTAAATTTAAATTATGAATCTAAAAAACTTAAAATTCTAGCTTTTACATAAGTTTTATTATAAATAAAAATATGTTCAAGGTATATTTATGTATGAAGTTCAGTGGCAGAAGCCATAAGAAGCCATAATAAACTAGCTCAAAATATTAATCATGCCTATAAAAATTTTGCATGATAAATTACAGCTCATAATGTGTCTTAAAACTTATATCCATAAAACTTTTACTTAGCAAGCTAATAAAGTCAACAAATTGTAACTCGGTAAATTAGAGCTTAAAATATAAGTGACAAATAAGGTGTGAGAAAAAGTGGGGTGACCCCTGACCTCCTCCTTGAGTATGGCTTTCATTTGGTGGGCGTGTTTAATGAGAGTGCGCGAGTGCTCGGCCTCTATCTGCGACCTCTTCTCGATATACGCGATCACATCCTTCGTGTACTTCGACCACACTTTCGCCCGATGGAGGGCCAGGTCTATGCCCTCCGGGAGAGCCAGGAATCGGTCGTCGATATCGGCCGCCGATAGCGAGTTCACCGGCGATGACGACAACGGGTCGGCCATCAAATTGTCGGTCGACTTGAACGATGGTATCGACGAGAGGTCGATGTCTCCCATAAGGTATTCCGAAACTCTGCGTATGATTAACACGTTTAGAGGGGAATGGTATGCGAGTATTGTAACGAAATTCTGTGGTAAGACATTAGGGAATGGTATGGAGAGTATGCATAAGAAATGGTTACCATTAGAAACAAATATGTTTTTGTATTTCAATTTTCAAATATTTGTTTGTTTAATATTTGTGTATATATTTTATATTAATTTTTTTATACATTTGTATTATGATTACTATAATGTAATCGCCGATTGTATTATACAATTGAAAATCCCCTGAAAAAAGCCTTGAGTTTAATGTTTTTAATGTTTTTAATGCTTTCTATGATTAATGATGGCTTCAGATGCTTATCATTTGATTTGATTTCCTATCTTTCGCTTCATATTTGGCTTTTGATTAGTTTTAATAATGAAATCAAACTTTTATTGCAAAGAATTTTCACGAGAAAAATATTTATATAATATAGCAATAAATGAACAAATTTTTTCGTTTAATTACTAATGAGAGTAATTATAATCTATGGCTAAAACAAAAGTAAACGTACATTTTTACTTGAAGTAATTAATTAGACTTTCCTTACTATACAAACACTTTTAATCTGTATTTTTTGTTAATGAACTAATTTTTTTGCTATGTTTTCATTGAAATAACAACTATTTTCTTACAGTTGTTTCGAAAGCCAATTAAATGTTTGAAATATTTGCTCATTTTATTTATATATTTCATTATATTTAGTGTTGAAATGATTTATAAATTTTATTTATAACATGAATTATAACATGTAATGCCTTACGCGCTGTTATGTTAACTTTTCTCATAACAAAAATCTCAATTAACTTTGCGTTCAAATTGAAAATAAAAATTAAACTTATAATTGTTATGAATAACAAAAAAAGCCATTCCTATAAAATTATAGCTTAGGGACTGTTAGTATGTTATGTAAAAAAAGTAATTTCATCGTAACAATAATATATAAATTCTGTGGGCATATACTAGGAGTGGATTTATATATACATGGCTATATAATTTTAAAGCCTTTGGTCTATAAAATAACAGTAATTTTTATCTACCATTTATGTAACAAATAAAACATTAGCGAAAAAAATATTTCTCTCAAATCAATAGCTATTTATTAGTCCACTATTTATCGGCGAAGTTATTATTAGATTATAAACGGCGTCTAATAGAGTGGGAAATGAATTGATTTTAATTTTATATTGCGATCAAAACAATCAAATAATGACAGACAAGGGGTTAGGAAAAAAGAGTATGAAAAAAATTTACATATAATTAATTTCGATACAATTTTTATTGGTATCAGGATATTTATATACATAACTACCTGAATACGTTTAAAACGAGTGTATATTTAGCGTAAAATATTTTTTGAAATCTAATAATAAAAATAAAAACTATAGTTTTTAAAATGCCATTGTAAGTTTGATTTGCTACCAAATGAAATAAACAAAAATATAATATCAGCCGAAAAAATCAATTGATTTGAGGGAATGACTACTTTTTTTGGGTATAACTTATACTTATGATGGGAATCGGCTATGAAATTAGTCTCAAATCATTCATGTCTTCAATATTTATGTTAAATAATCACTTATTAAGCGAAAAACTCCTCATTTTCTACATATTTATGATACATATTCGGCTGGAAATTGATCTTAATTTGCATTATATTGATGTCATTACTGGCGATCATTATTATACACATTAGACATAAAAATATATCTAATTATTGTCTCCTAATATAATATCTATAGGAAATACATTTTGCTATTATAGTGACCTATAAATTAAGGTTAGAGTTCACGCCTAAGGAATGTGTGGGCAAACTGTAACACATATGATATCAGTTTGTATAAGAAATATGTTTTCCCCTCCAATAGATAAATAACTTTTTATTTTACACACAATTATTAGGCAACTTTACACTATAACAAGTAATAACTGATAACAAATATAAAAATTGAATTTTTGTGAAATAAAAAACATTTTTCTGACTTAAATACCAGTTCAATAAGTTAATGATATGTACACTAAATACTAGGCATTTAATATACGATTGTGTGTATTGTGTACTAATATTTGTGTTGATATTAGTTATACAATAAAAAATGCTAAATATTTTACTAAATTTCAATTTAGCCGTCGATTGACATGAGATATCATCTGTCGATCAGACAATAGGTTTTCGCAAAGATCTTCAGAGACCTATCAATAAAAGCGATTGTGATCTCAAACTTCAAGACTATAAATACATTTCTCAAACATTTTTGTCTTTTTCAGTGTATTATTATTATTCCGATGAGAAAACTATTATATTTGCCAATTTATTTCAATCTTTTTTGCTTCATTTTATACACAAAAACACAATCAATTTATACAATAAATTTATGTTTAAGCAAAAAAAGTTGTTTTATTTTAAAATAAAACTTTTCCGTAATAATGAGAAAGCGAGGTATAATAAATTATCATTAAATTTACATTAAATTATACCTATTTTTTGTTGAAAACATCCTAAAATAAAGGTTGTCTGTGTTTTTGACTTTAAACATAGCGTTCAAAAACACAACTTCCCATCAAATGAGTTATGTTTCAAAAAACGTATTCACAAAAAACCCATTGAATTGTTAATTTATAACGAGATTTATATTATAATAGCATTAATTCGTTATTACAAACACATTAACCACATAACACTATGTATGATACGATAGTTTCAATGGTGTTGTAATGATAAGTGAATATAAAAAATATATTTATGGCATCAAAATCCGCTGAAATTCATTCAATGAAAATAATTGGCGACAAAAAACTTATTACAAAATCACTCACAAATTCTCTCACAAATCAAATGTTTAATAAATATTTCAGAAATCATATAAATTCTTGTTTATAATAAAGGACTTCAACAGAGATAGTCGTCTATAATGTGTAGCAATGACTGAAAAAAAAGTATTTATTATTTTTATATTTATAAGTGTTTCGACAAAAAATTAATTTTTGATTAGAAAAAATACATTATAAGAGACATATAAAAAGCAATAAAAATCAAAGTCTTTTTTATGAGTTTCTCGCAAAACATATAAATTATGGGAAGAAATATATAGTTTTCCATTCAATCAATCAATTCTTGTTTATAATAAAGGACTTCAACAGAGATAGTCGTCTATAATGTGTAGCAATGACTGAAAAAAAAGTATTTATTATTTTTATATTTATAAGTGTTTCGACAAAAAATTAATTTTTGATTAGATATACTTATTATAAGACTGTGTGTATGTATTGATAGTATACAGCTACTTTTTATTTATATAATAGCCTTGACTTTACAGCGAAAAATCATGTTATGTTTGTATTAAAACCTATCGTCGAAAGTATGCGAGAAAAACAAGAATTGATTGATTGAATGGAAAACTATATATTTCTTCCCATAATTTATATGTTTTGCGAGAAACTCATAAAAAAGACTTTGATTTTTATTGCTTTTTATATGTCTCTTATAATGTATTTTTATAGATCGCCAAGAATTTTATTTTTCACTCTCAAAACATACCATTTGCTTATTATAATCAGATTAACATTGGATTTTAAATGCTTATAAAAAAGTTACACGATTTCTATGCTACGAAAAATACTTTTAATTTGCAAAACAAATCTATTTTTGACAATAAAACAATTTTCTAATGTAGAGCTCAATTAATGTGTTAAATCTGCATTAAATCAAAATCAACATGCATAAAATATTAGTGTATGTCATAATTATATATTTTCATAACATTCAGATAAATACATGAAATAATGCACTCATGGTATGAGTCGCGAGTATTTGCATTTCAAGTGAATATGATTTGCAATTTCATTGAAGAAATGTAATCGAAATCATAAATAATCAGCGAATTTAAGGGTAAAAAATTATATATGAATGCAAAGCAAACTTATAAAGCAATTCATTATCACAGGATTAGGACATCAATACGTGTTTAATGACAGACAAACAATTATATCTCAAATGTTTTTCTCGATATTCAATGTGTGATCACTTGGTTGAAAGGGTCGACAGATAACCGCTTTTTAGAGACGATTAGATAAACACAAAAAGTTTTTGTATGAAATTTTTTTGTCAATCTTTCAAAACACGTACTGATTATCACACCAAACGCCTGAATAGTGTCTACGAAACAGGAAAAAACTTTTTACGAAATACTTATTAATCTCAAACACAAACTAATGGCTTATATATGAAAATATTGCTAAACTTTTTGTGTGTGTGTTTGCGGACGTCTTAAGACTTTTAGTCTTTTTTATGTGAGATATGTTGCGGTGTTTCAGGAATTTTTGCCATCAATTCCTTGTCTTATCAGTCAATTAATGGCAAAAAAAGTTTTCAGGATTTGATGCATACGTTCATAGTTTTCCTATTTCTTTGCCGTAAATACGATTTTGTGGTGTTTTTTGTGAAAGTTTTTGAAATATTTTATTTTCATACGAAACGTAAAACTTATTATCATTTTTTTGTCGAGTTTTCTGATGAGTTCATTGATATACAAATGAGAGTACATTTGAGA